ATGCAGTCTTGGTGAGCAGAAGAGACTTCTTTTAAAAAATTAACCATTTTCATCCCATTATGGAGCAAAAATGGCTAGTTAATATTGTGTTTACAAAGACATTTTGCTTCATCATCATTACCATCAACTCAAGGCTTGTTCTCAAAAGATCATGTTTCATTACTGTAATTGCACACGGACAATAACATCCCACGAAGACGCCCACAGCCTCAACACACGCGAAACTCGACAAGATAATCAGCGCTCACTGACTGATCTAAAGAAATGACTGACAGCAAAGTTTAAGCTGCAAGACACCGGCTGCCAGCATCAGCGTTCAGATCATCCGTGCCTACATAAACACACACACGTTCTGTTATGACCGTGTTTATTCTTCCAGCGTGTGAATCATCCACACACCACAATGTGTCATACACACTCGTTTCAAACGGCACCAGAGGAAAGGAGCAGACGCACAAAGCACGCGCAGGCTTCGCACTCGACTGGATTTCTGAAATCAATCGCTGCTCTGAATGAACACGGGCGTCCGATGAGCGATAAGGTCGCCATGGAAACCGTCTCGGCGCAGCATCCTCAGACGTGCGCCAGTGTTAACCTCTTAAGTGGCAAGGGCACACGCGGCATCAAAACACACGTCAACATGATCACAGCGTCAAACCCTCCGCTGCATAAACAGATAGATAGATGGATGGATGAAACCAGACTGAAGGCATCATGGGAGCACAATGATGCAAACTAGGAGCTGCATGGTGAATTCTGGGAAATGTGTGCTGGTTAATAACATACGTGTTATAAGAACATTGCAAGAACCATAATCTGTGAGTCTGTTTGTGCCAAGGTCACAGTTTCTGCTCATTAAAAATGGAGTTAGCAGACTCTTCGTTTAGAGGAACAATTAATTATTGATTAGATCCACAAGAGCACATCGCCCCCTCGTTTGGTCCACCTCTGCAGGTAAAAACAATTCAATCAACCAACATTGGACCAGTTAACCCATTTCTGATGTGTGCATTCACTGACCACAGACCAGCTGGAGAATTACCCACCATTAAAGGAAAAGTTCACCCAACATGACAATCACCCTCAGGTCATCCAAGATGTAGATGAGTTTGTTTCTTCATCAGATTTGGAGAAATGTAGCATTCCACCACTTGCCCACCAATGGATCCTCTGCAGTGAATGGGTGCCGTCAGAATGAGTCCAAACAGCTGATAAAAACATCAGAATAATCCACAAGTAATCCACACTCCAGTCCATCAGTTAATGTCTTGAGAAGACAAAAGCTGCATGTTTGTGAAAAACAGATTCATTAATACGTTTTTAACTTCAAATAATTGCTTGCCAAAATCTGAATCTAATCCATAATAACGCTTCCTCCAGTGAAAAAGTCCATCTCCTCTTGTCTCTCACATCATAATCTAACCACATTTGTTTAAAACTTTTTTGGCTTGTAAATGGTGTTCGATCTGTGCAGATTTCTCTCCTGATTCAGACGAGACGACTTTTTCACTGGAGAAAGCAATATGGAGGAAATTGATGGACTGGAGTGGTGTGAATTACTTGTGGATTATTGTGATGTTTTTATCAGCTGTCTGGACTCTCATTCTGACGGCACCCATTCACTGCAGAGGATCCATCGGTGAGCAAGTGATTCACATGATCCTTCAGAAATCCTTCTAATTCACACTATGAAATTTTAAATTGTAACATTTAACAAAATGAATTTTTACTGTACTTTTGATCCAGTAAATGCAGTCTTGGTGAGCAGAAGAGACTTCTTTTAAAAAATTAACCATTTTCATCCCATTATGGAGCAAAAATGGCTAGTTAATATTGTGTTTACAAAGACATTTTGCTTCATCATCATTACCATCAACTCAAGGCTTGTTCTCAAAAGATCATGTTTCATTACTGTAATTGCACACGGACAATAACATCCCACGAAGACGCCCACAGCCTCAACACACGCGAAACTCGACAAGATAATCAGCGCTCACTGACTGATCTAAAGAAATGACTGACAGCAAAGTTTAAGCTGCAAGACACCGGCTGCCAGCATCAGCGTTCAGATCATCCGTGCCTACATAAACACACACACGTTCTGTTATGACCGTGTTTATTCTTCCAGCGTGTGAATCATCCACACACCACAATGTGTCATACACACTCGTTTCAAACGGCACCAGAGGAAAGGAGCAGACGCACAAAGCACGCGCAGGCTTCGCACTCGACTGGATTTCTGAAATCAATCGCTGCTCTGAATGAACACGGGCGTCCGATGAGCGATAAGGTCGCCATGGAAACCGTCTCGGCGCAGCATCCTCAGACGTGCGCCAGTGTTAACCTCTTAAGTGGCAAGGGCACACGCGGCATCAAAACACACGTCAACATGATCACAGCGTCAAACCCTCCGCTGCATAAACAGATAGATAGATGGATGGATGAAACCAGACTGAAGGCATCATGGGAGCACAATGATGCAAACTAGGAGCTGCATGGTGAATTCTGGGAAATGTGTGCTGGTTAATAACATACGTGTTATAAGAACATTGCAAGAACCATAATCTGTGAGTCTGTTTGTGCCAAGGTCACAGTTTCTGCTCATTAAAAATGGAGTTAGCAGACTCTTCGTTTAGAGGAACAATTAATTATTGATTAGATCCACAAGAGCACATCGCCCCCTCGTTTGGTCCACCTCTGCAGGTAAAAACAATTCAATCAACCAACATTGGACCAGTTCTGATGTGTGTGATGTGTGCATTCACTGACCACAGACCAGCTGGAGAATTACCCACCATTAAAGGAAAAGCATGACAATCATGACAATCACCCTCAGGTCATCCAAGATGTAGATGAGTTTGTTTCTTCATCAGATTTGGAGAAATGTAGCATTCCACCACTTGCCCACCAATGGATCCTCTGCAGTGAATGGGTGCCGTCAGAATGAGTCCAAACAGCTGATAAAAACATCAGAATAATCCACAAGTAATCCACACTCCAGTCCATCAGTTAATGTCTTGAGAAGACAAAAGCTGCATGTTTGTGAAAAACAGATTCATTAATACGTTTTTAACTTCAAATAATTGCTTGCCAAAATCTGAATCTAATCCATAATAACGCTTCCTCCAGTGAAAAAGTCCATCTCCTCTTGTCTCTCACATCATAATCTAACCACATTTGTTTAAAACTTTTTTGGCTTGTAAATGGTGTTCGATCTGTGCAGATTTCTCTCCTGATTCAGACGAGACGACTTTTTCACTGGAGAAAGCAATATGGAGGAAATTGATGGACTGGAGTGGTGTGAATTACTTGTGGATTATTGTGATGTTTTTATCAGCTGTCTGGACTCTCATTCTGACGGCACCCATTCACTGCAGAGGATCCATTGATGAGCAAGGGATGGAATGCTACATTTCTCCAGATCTGATGAAGAAACAAACTCATCTACATCTTGGATGACTTGAGGGTGAGGACATTATCAGCAAATGTTCATTTTTGGGTGAACTGCTCCTTTAATGTGAAGACCAGTCTCTCTTTGGAGTAAACTGCCGTTGTTTCTCTAAATAAAACTAGCATTTTCAAAAAGAAACCACTTCCATTTCAAATATGATGGTAAAATGTATTTAATAAAATGAGTAACAACAACAAAAACAAGAATTTTAAACTAAAACACACACTAGTGATAGCAGATTTCTATCTCATTGGCCTGCATATAATCAGAGCAACAACAAAAAAAAAAAACCATTACTCAGTCAGAAACCAAAGCAGCACAAAGAAAAAGGTCTTTAAAATTTGATATGGCTGATCTCTGCAGTGCATCTGAATTTGCCTGCAACAATCTCAATAATTAATCTTTTTCTTTTCCACTGATGTTAACAGCCTCCTCCAACCAATCGTTTAATTAAAAACATTTCAAATGGCGACTAATGCAAAATAACCTCTATTACGCTTTCTCTGAGTTGTGTCACATAAGTGTGGGAGGGCTGCGATTCTTTTCTCTCCCTCGATCAGGCCAAATTTACCCAAGGCTGCTTTAACAGAGGATAAAAATGCCTTCACTGAAGAAGTTGACTGTTCTGGACACCTGTTACCAATGCATATCTTTAGATGAAGAACACTCATGCATGCGCGGTCTGTAATGTGTTTGCCAAGTCGGTCTTGATTTGATCTTAATATGTGACACCTGCCTCTCCAATGGTTAGACCAGTGGTTCCCAATCCTGGTCCTGGAGAACCCCCAACACTGCACGCTTTTGGTGTCTCTCTTATCTGACACTCACATTTGAGGTCTTGGAGTCTTCACTAATGAGCTGATGAGTTGAATCAGGTGTGTTTAAATAGGGAGACATCTAAAATGTGCAGTGTTGGGGGTTCTCCAGGACCAGGATTGGGAACCACTGGGTTAGACCATTACGCACTGGTTTAGATGCATGCACAAGAACTTAATAACACTCACATTTCATCAAGTTTTAACACATTTTGATAAGACTCTCTCATCTCTACATTAACTAGCATGCACGGGAATTTAAACACGAAACATACTTATCTACACGCATACATATGCATAAGTGCATAGTTTTTGCGTTGTATGGAAACGCAAGCGTTTAGAAACGCACTGGTTTAGATGCATGCACAAGCACTTAGTAACACTCACACTTCAAGTTTTAACGCATTTTTGATGAGACTCTCTCATCACACGTCTCCAGCACGTTTACTAGTATACACAGGAATTTAAATACGAAACAGACTTGTCTACGCGCGCATGCGTGAGTTTTGGCGTTTTTTTGGAAACGCACTGGTTTAGCTGCATGCACAAGCACTTAGTAACACAAAACTTGATGAAATGTTGATCGCATTTAACGCATTTTACTAGTATGCACGGAAACTTAAACACAAAACAGACTTGTCTGCACGCATGCATGAGTTTTGGTGTTGTTTGGAAGCGCAAGCGCGTAAAGGAGACGCGCGTAACCGTTTGGCGACTCCGCGCTGCGCTCTTACCCGAGCGGCTCTGGAGGAGTACGGGTCCTCAAACAGGTTCCAGATGACCGGCTGCCACTTTCTCCACCTGCTGCCGGTACCGTCCGCGGACACCACGTCCTCGATGCCAAGCCGCTTGCCGTACTCGTCGTCCTCGTCGTTGTCCACGTTCATCTCGAACACCTCCAGCGCTTCCTCGGCATCCCGGTGCTGTCGGTAGGTCATCCAGCAGCACGGCTCCACGTCCGTCTCATCGATTCCCCAGAAGGACAGCTCCTCCTCGAACAGCGGCCCGCACACGTCCGCCGGGCAGTGCAGCTTACCGGTCCGGTAATAGTTGAGCACGTAGGCAAAGACGCCTGGGTGCCGGTCGAAGAAATACTCGTTGCTGCGCGCGTTGTACTCGATGAAGCCCGGGACTTGTTGCAGCTGGTCCAGAACCGACCCGAGGTCCGACTCTGAGGCGAGCAGGGCCAGACGCGTGCCCGGCAGGGTCTTCAACGTGGTCCGGTAGGTTTCGTGCCTCGTGCCCCCGACGTTGAGGATCACCCTCTCGTGATCGTCGAACTTGCCCATCTCTCAGAGTGAGACATGACGCGAGGGGAGTAACGTTACTCTACGGTGCTGCTGTGGCAAAGCTGGAGTACTCCAATAGTTCGCGAACAGCCTCATTGAAGTGAAGGATCGAACCGAACGCTTCGCTTTATTCGCGGCGAGCGAGACAAACCGAGCTCAAGCGGACAGGTGAAAGAAAGCAGCAGCTCTTTCTTCTATCGATTCATCATCATCACCTGCGGCTCGCGCTTCGGAGCAACAAGAGCAAGCTCGCTTTCTCTCTCT